ACGGCGCGTTCCCGAGCGCCGGGGAGCTAGACAGGACACGGCGCGTTCCCGAGCGCCGGGGAGCTAGACAGGACATGGCGCGTTCCGGAGCGCCGGGGAGCTAGACAGGACACGGCGCTTTCCCGGGCGCCGGGGAGCTCGACAGGAAACGGCGCGTGGCCAGGACAGCGCGACACCGGCCGACCGCTGGTAGCGCCTCTTCATCTCCCTCAACCAGAACCGTACAGACAGCGTCTATAAACCCAAACATCTTTTCGTGAAGGCTTAACATTCATTCGGATGTTCTGCGTGGAAACAAGTGTTTTTTCCGGCTAGGTCCATCCGTTTGTTAAGACGTTCCTCCACTCCTGGGCGGACTTGAGACCAGATCATCTCGTGTGGGTGCCGGTCGGACAAAAGGAGCAATCGAATCTATTTCAGTACATATGACGGGACAAATGCACCATATTACTGGCCGTCGCTGACAGTTCGTCCCCTTCGATTGGGTCGATGGTGCTGGCGTCAACGGCGGCTGAAGCATGCCCATCCCAGACCAGCCCTCGGACGGTACGGCTCTGGTTTTATCAGGCAGTTCTCTGTGTTGTCCCAGCAACGTCACCGCAAAGCCTAGCCCGCATAAACATCAACGACATCCTATGAAATATAACCCCACGAAATAGCTCCGTAAATTTGTAGAAAGTAGGGATTTCATAATTCCTCATTCATGACAATGCGGGGTGAGTGGAAGTCAAGCATGCGCAAGTCTTTTTGGTAAAGCTGACTGTGTTCATCTATTATCTCACATAATCAACAATAACCTAACGCGCCTCAGTCACACGGTGCACACGCAACGCGGAATGCGTGGTGATCAGCATCCACTGTCCACCGCACTTAGATATAGTCTTTATGCACTGTCCTAAGTCGTCTTTTCTAGCTAAATGTAGCCAAGACTGAAGCTGCATTTACGCTACATTGATGGCAGTGTCGGCATCTAGACTAATTCGTTGAGCTTGCTGCTATATTTATTGGCAAAACTCAATTAACAACATCCTGGTATCTCTTTCACACCGCGACACACGGCACAGAACGTGCCGATTCTATTCGTCCAAACGACACCATTTTTGTGGAACAGCCAGATGGAAGCTTTGCCACAGAACTCTACTGTAAACCCAAGGCTGCTCCCGTCATATTACATAACCAGTTCGGCACACCCCATGTGTACTAAGCGGTTCTTATTTCACGGAAACCGAGAGCACTGCGAATATATTCTAATCCACAATCGTGTGAGCGTAGTCTCACTAAAATGCCCTATTTTCCCGTAAGAATGGATACCCGGAGCACCGCCGAGGCCTGCCGCTTGCGCCATACGTTCCCGAGTGAACACTTCAACAGGTTCGCGAAAAAGTTGCGGAAAGGCAGAGCAAACACATTATGTTTATATGAAACTCCCTTTTACAGATGACGGGATGCGCAAACAGGTTAAGGCCGCCGTGCGATCGGGTAGTTTACGCGGCCTTCGGGTAGCGCAGATCAGCGGTCCTGGTTCAAAGTATATGCTAGCGCGATCAGCACCAGGCTCCAACGTGTCCGGATTGCAGTACGACTTACCGCTATGTGTTAATGGATGAAAACGAAAACGCACGCGGAAGAACGCAGCATGTAATATCGTTTATTACATCTGCCCGATGATGATCCATGTAGGAGAAACAAGGCGTAGCATTCGTGCCCGGTTTAATGTGCAGCTTGCGTGCGCTCTACGCGTTCGCGCAGAGCGCGCACACTACTAGGACGCGTGCTAGACCGACCGCGGCAATGGAGTACAGCACCGCAAATATCGGCTCTAAAATATAAATTTCCCAACACCCTAAAACACCCTATCCCAAGATTACAGTATCGTTACACAATCGTTATCTTCGTCCGAGGCTGAGTACACAAATGCCATCATGGGACCCGGTTGGACAAGCATTGTTTAGGTCAGAGACATCTAGAAATAGCCTCACATTCGTTGTGATGGACACTGATGTCCGCTTGCCACTCCCTCTCTATCCTGACACTCTGATAGGGTCATCGAAGCCTTCCGGCTTAACGACTGTGTTTCGGGCAGCAGCGCCGTGTACTGGGTGTTACGACGTGAGAGCCGGAACTCCCGGGATGTGAGCGATGTTCGGGCTACGCTCGTGATGCCTGGTGCTTGCGGTAAGGAATTTTTTAATATCATGATCGGTATGGTCATCGTGGTTTTACGGCTTATCCGCCTGTTTTCCGTGCAGCTTTAAAATTAGAACCGTGCATCTCGTGTTAGAGTATGGGAGTTCTGACGATCTTTTTCACATCTCTTCAGTGACAGTGTATGCACACATTCGGAGCATTTCCTGAATCAGTGTATCTTGGTTTTCATGTGTGATTTTTACTTGACCTTGCCTAATCTTTCTCACTCGTGTTCGTAAGCACTGCTCTGCTGAACCGCTGCTCGACACGTCGAACACTGTCCACATGACCAATGGTTGTTCTACAACGTCCTTTAACCAGTACCCTCCGGGAATACCGGAGGTCGATAGCTCAGCATGAGAACCATGAACTTACAATGCGGAAATGTATCGTATGAACCCAGCCAACCTCGTTCTTAGACACAAAGTCGCATTTTCCTCACACCAAAAATATATCGTACGAAACGAGCCCAATATTTGGCTCACACACAACGCTGCCATTCCAGATCTGGCCGGCCACCGTCCCTAACATTATGTAGGTAAGTACCTACGTTGGCAGCTAATTAGGCCTGCTACGAAACAAAACGACTATGTGCTGAATGCGAATGTCTGCTCTAACACACAGAAGGGTGTGTTTACAGATATGAAGAGCAATAACTGAAATTAATAGGCTAGCGGACAGATAATAATGCATGAGTCCAAGGCGAATGAGTCGGTAATGGCGTGCTGTGCGCCTGCGGGGAGTCCAGAAGGGCTGTGAGGTATTTTATCCATATCAGTGAGTTAAGCTGTTGAAGATTTTCATGTTAACTTCAAGGTGCGGCCAGGTTACGCATAAAAGCAGGACGCCGACCTGAAGATACACTATTTAAGGCCTACTCTTTAGCTCTCTGATACAGGCAGGATTGAGGTTCCAACCATAGAACACGAGGTAATATCACGAGGCAGAAACATGCATATGCAGTTAGCTCGCAATGCTTTGCATTTTAACGTAACCCCAGGAAGTGCACTCAGCACACACAAATGTTGGTCATTATCGCCAGCCCAGGCATACTAGTTTTCTTCAACCGTTTATTGTTTTTGCTGTGCTGCCACGACGGTCCTACCAGTCAGTGCCAGGCATAACGTATTTATGTGAATAGTGGAAGACAAATATGCCAATAAGAGTGTACACCAGGTTAACCTGTTAAAGGCGTGATGATGATTTTGACATCACTGTTGGTAAGCTATGTATAATATACTGCACTATATTACATTACTGCATTTTCATACTTACAACCAAATACCTCGTTGATAAAACTGACCCTTTTGGCGTGCAATGCAAACGAAAATTACGGCTGTACTTCAGAACCCAAAGAGCAATAATGATCATAGTGTAAGAACACCATGTAACAAATAACAATACGCAAAAACACAATGTAAGTAATGTGAAGAAAGCCCGCAGAAATTCACCATTCTGCCCGCAATAAGGACGACAAGGCCCGCGGGTCTTTCGTACCCACGCTTTGTAGGACTGCCGCTCACTGGTGACAGCTCCAGAACGCGCGAAACAAAAATCAGAGCCAACGGACACCAGTCCCATGAAATGCAGCGTTCACAAGCATCGACCTAGTGAGCGTGCGAGACCGCCATACAATGCCGGGCCGGGGATCATTGGCAGGCGGCGGGCACGGCCGCGCCGAAGCCGCGGCCGATCCGATGACGCACGGCGGCGTCAGCGGCCACTTCGGGGCAGCGCTTCGCGGCCGCTGATGAACATTTGTCGGGCGCGCCGTTATGAGCGGGCCGCGTGCGGCCAGGCGCCCCCAATCAATCGCGGCGGGAGGTGGGCGCCGGCCGCGGCCGGGCCCACGCGCCGCCGGCCGCTCCTCGGTCACCTGAGCCGGGCGCGCCGCGCCGCGGCCGCCCCACTTGCCAGCGATTAATCAGCGGGAAAAATGAGGTGGCGGCCGCGCCGGCGGCGCCCGCCGCCACGAGTGTCGTGTCGCACCTTATGGGGGGCGCATTAATTCGGCCGGCGCGCTGGTGGCCGCGATATCGCACGCCGATTTTCACGATCAGTTGACTCACGGATTCAGCGGAGACATGCGACCAACGACGGACAGCGACACACGAAAGCCACCGCGCGAAACGAAAACAAGCAGACGTTACCACTGAGGGCGCGTAGCTCCGTGCAATGATGCTGGATTCGTTACGGATGGGTGGCAGGTTCGATTCCCGGGGCAGTAACCAATTTGGAGGGCAAATGAACATCACGACAAACGGAGCTAAGGCGACGAGAGAGCGCGCACCACGGACGTGAAATGGCCGTGAAGGGCGCGCAGTCGCAACCGCGCAGTGCACTCCGACCGGGACCCGGCTAAGCCCGTGACATCACGCCGCTACCGGCCCCCAGTGGGCTCTACAGTCGCCGATGGGCCCATAGTGGGATCTACAGTCGCTGATGGGTCCTACCGGCGACCGCCGTGCCGAACACTCGAGAGCCCCCGGGCCCCCAGTGCGTCCCGAATCTCTCCCCCTCACACCTCCGACTGCAGCAGGGCGGTGCTGATCCGACCGGGCGGGACAGCACAGGCCACGGTGACAGCAGCCGCTTCCCGCAGAACTTGCTCCCGCACAGCGCTTTTAATACGTAAACGTGTCGAGAGTTCCGAGTAATCGTGCATGAGGCGACGACAAACCTCGCTCATTCCTATTCAATGTTCCGCATGCATTTCGCTGGGGACAGCTTCCTCGCGTTTGAGAAGCATTCTCGGACCCCTCCCCTTTTCCCCTGAATCGGATCACGCGACCTCTGGGCATCGGCCCACGTACCGTGCCCTTCTTCAGCCTCTCCAGCAGCTCCTTCTCGATGGCCTTGTCGATGTTGGCCGCCACCAGAGCCTTGTCCTCGCGGCGCACCTCTCTTCGCTCCACCTTGCGCGGCAGAGGCACCAGCTTCTTCCTGAAACAAGACGGTGCGCAGGCGTCACAGGCCTGTTTGCTGGCCCAGCCCGGGCCACCGCTGCGGCCCGGAACACCACCGCCTCCCGTCTCCAGTCTCCAGTCTCAGCACGTGTCTACGCGGCCAGGTGAAAGCCTCACGTGGGGCTGCATTTCATCACCTGGACGGCATTACCCATGTGACGCATCAACCGCGAAATGGCTCTGCCTCTAACGCTGACGCTACCCCCAGCAGCGCCTCCGTGCATCAGTTGCACCTAACCCAGCCTTAAGTGTGGAGCTAAGCGTCGCTGCTTGGAGGCGCACGTAGGGCGCGCTGGCCGCGGCCTGGTGCCGTCGCCGGCGGCGGCCCATTACGCTACTGGCGTCGAGCAGCACAAGAAACGCCGTTCTTCCCCGCGCGTGGCGACCTTCATTACGATGCGGCCGCCGGCAGGCGGCGGCTGCGAGGAAATCTCCGCAGCCCCCGGAGAAAAACAATGGCCGCCAATCCCATTGGGAGCGCATTTCCGCGGATTTAAACACGGTCGCCGGCCACGGCGGCGCCGCGCAACGGCCCTGCGGACGAGCAGCCACCTGGATGGGTATACTGCCCCGGCGGACAGGCTCTAGTTCGGTCGCACAGTCGCACGCGTAGCCGAAGCGACGAGGAGTGACGGGGAGTGCTGCGTCTAATTTGTACAGGGCAGCATATCGTCGACGTGAGCAGGGATGTGGCTTCCGATTCGGTCGAGGGAGAGGGAGGGGGGCATCCGGGCTCCAAACTTGTGCTCCAGCCCCCAAATTTGAGAAGAAATTGGGCCAAATCCGGGGAGAAACCCGTTTGATGGCACATCTTTGGGGTACACCACGTCATTTTTCAGAGCTCAGCCCCAAGCCCATTTCGTGAAATTACGGCCCTGTCACATATGGTCAACCACGTAACTTTTTTGAGCCATGCATATACCCTGAAGCAATATTCTTGACAGCCGTTGATTTGAAAACACGCCCCATCGGCATGGTTTCTTGGAAAAATAAGGCTAGAATCGATATCAATTCCCGCAACAAATTAAGCTTTGTTTGATGACTCACGTGGCGTGCTGCAACAACAATACGCAACGCGCGTTCATTTTTTTCGCCGCAGAATATTTAACGCGTTCTCGTGCCAGTCGTCTCTGCCACACACACCAAAAAGATTCTGCGCTAGCCACAAGGCAGCTTTGCCATGCGGTTGATAGGAAACGGCTAAAACGTGTAAAATAAGAGTCAGGTCGTAGTCACGTTAATTACACGTCGCTGGAAGTAAGCAAACGCACCGCAGCGCTGGGGCCTCGGCAGGCGGCTGGAGCGGCGCCAAGGCGTCACGACACAACACACGACACGACACGACACGACACGACACACGACACGACTTAATCTAGCCACGTCAGCCCGCCGGCCAAACAGCGAATGATGGGACCGCGGGGGGGGGGGGGCGAGCGCAAACGACAACGACCCGCAGCACGACTACCCGGAGGCGCTCGTCAGCTGGGCAGGGGAGGTTGTGGAGGAGGAGGGGGCGGCGGCGGCGTGGCTGACCGGGCGGTCGGGGCCGGACGTCCTGCGGCGCACCGGCCGCCATTGATCTCACGTGGCTTGGCCCGGCCCGGCCGCCGGTCCGCTCCCTCCCCAGGCCGGTCCGCTCCCTCCCCAGGCCGGTCAGCTCCCTCCCCTGGCCCAGCCGCGCGTAAAGCCGGGCGTTAGTTTAACGAGAGTGTCACTAAAACGCGACTTGCCAGTGGCCAACGCACTTTATGCGCTTTGGAGGCGGCCATAAATATCGGCGAGCGCATGTGTCGGGCGGCGAGACGGGGCCCAACAAACAGGGCAGTGTCGGGCGGCGAGACGGAGCCCAACAAACAGGGCAGTGCCCGATCGATTGTCGGGCCGAACGCGGAGCGGCGCCGGCAGGCCGGCCGCGGCGAGACAGGCCGGCCGCCGGGCCGAGACACGGCGCCGAACACGGACTGACAGGCGCCGGCTCCGCGGCCCACCCGGCGAGAGCGGCCGGCGCAGACGGCTGCACGGAGCGGAGCAGAGCGGACAGGGCGGCTGCGCAGAGCTGATAACAATGGACAGAGCAGCTGCACGAAGCTCAGGAGAGCGGACAGAGCAGCTGCACGGAGCGGAGCGGAGCGGAGCGGAGCGGAGAGGGCGGCTGCACAGAGCTGATAACACTGGACGTAGCAGCTGCACGGAGCTCAGGAGAGCGGACGTAGCAGCTGCACGGAGCGGAGCAGAGCGGACAGGGCGGTGTACAGAGCTGATAACAATGGACAGAGCAGCTGCACGGAACTCAGGAGAGTGGACAGAGTAGCTGCATGGAGCGGAGCAGAGCGGACAGGGCAGCTGCACAGAGCGGGGCAGAGCGGACAAAGCAGCTGCACAGGACTGATAACGGTGGACGGGACAGTTCCACGGAGCTGAAGAGAGAGGACAGAATAGCTCCGCAGAGCTCAGGCGAGCAGACAGAGCAGCTACACAGAGCTGATATCTGTGGACAGTACAGTTCCACGGAGCTGAGGCGAGATAGCCTCACGGAGCCTAGGAAAGCAAACAGGGCACCTGCATAACGCCGAGGAGAACGGAAAGACGAGACAGCAAAGAGCTGAGGAGAGCGGGCGAGACAGCTCCGTGGAGTTGACGAGAGCGGACGGGACAGCTGTACGGCGTTAAGAAAAGCCAACATGGTTCGCTGGTGGACAACTGCGCCCAGTTTATTATGCAGCGTGACTCGTCTCCGCTGCTCTGAACTATCTGCCGTCCAATAAATCGAAATCGTTTTGACATGCCAATACCACATCACATGCACAGTTGAAAGTCATCAAGCGAGAGTAATCTGGTTTGCCGAGCATGCAAATGGCAATCAGCTGGCGAACAGCTGGAGATAACCAGCCGGGCGCGACCGGCCGTGGCCGGCAGTACTCGCGTGGTTCGGCGTACATGCGGCCAACTGTATCTAAGCATGGCAACGGGTCAATAATTCAGAATGAACTACTTCGTGTTTGCTATCGTCTTGAACCGGCTTCGGAATGCATTCTGAGCCAAAAGTCGCCAATACAAAGAAGCATGAATACATTTCACCGCAAACCCCACACAAATAATTACGAATACATTTTGGAACACGTTGTAACCACAAATATGCCTCATGCCACTATCACAGGGCTTCAAAGGATGACTATGACGCCGAGTAAAATGTCAAATATCAATCTGCATGGATTGCACCCTTCATACAGCCTCGTCGGTTTTTGTTAGGCAACACAAACACCAGTGCATTTGAGATGTGTTGAGCGCTTATGAGCAGGCTTGTGGAGCGGTGTCATCGGTACAAACCCAACCACGACCACTGCAGACATATAGCTGTGCTGCTTAAACCAGCATGAGCTACATATCAGGCTTCTCAAAATGAGCATCGGCACATCTCACTTCACGGATAAAACATTCTCCAGCCTATCATACGTGTGCTGGCAAACTATCTGCACCAATATCTAAGTCGCTAAAAGCATGCTGATGCAACGTTTTGGTCTGATTTCTCCAGCCATGCTAAATTCTTGGTTGGTGCCGGCAATCATCAGAAAACGCTCGACGCAAAACACAGCTCCGAACTTCAGACCTGCCATTGCGATTTGTACACCGACTCCTCAGCCCCTGAACCACCGAAAGGCATCCCGATGTCATGTCCGTGACCTCGTCGTCCTCCTTTCCTTCTTGGTGGTCTATAGTTATGGCGCAGTCGGCTGTGGTCTAGTTTGAGCGCAGTCTACAATTCGCCATATTCCGGATTCGCAAAGCTGCCAGAAGCTCTCTGAGCTGAGATACATGGTGGGCCTTACGTAACACATCCCCAGCTCTTTCCAAGGACCGACCGATGCATGATGACGGCCGGAGCAGTAGCCATCAAAAGTTGCGTAAATAGTGACCACGTTGTCGGTAATAATAGGCCGGGATATTCTATCAGCATCCCAATTATTTCGAAACAGCTATTTCCCAAATTACGCAGAACAATATCGTTGCATCATTCAGCCACCGACGTTTGTTGTTACTAGCAGTCCTTCACGTTCACAGGCGATCAGATACTCGCAGCCGCCATGGAGCTACGGGACGATGCAGTACGTGCTGCGCTGGCAGAAGTACCCGTCTGAAGTCCGCTGCTGATGCATGACAGTCGACTGTACAAATAATCCTTTCAACGCTGTTCAGTATGTCGAGGGTCGCTATATGCTGAAAGTCCATCGCAAAGCCAGCCCAGAGATCCTTTTCCATGTCTGGCACTCCCCACTTCAAGCTGGCACCGAGAAAATTATATGGAATTGTTCCAGTACTCCCCAACATAGTCCATTTATACAATATCATTTCCATTTTCCTGTCTCTATCTACATCTCTTTGGCAAACTTCTGCTCTCCTCCTTCATTTCAAACTTTTTCCTTCCCTTCCTTTATCTTCCCATCTGCGTCTCTGTTGCAAGCTTTATTTATACCCCGCTTTTCTGTATTTCCGTCTCTCGTTCTCTATTTCGCAGTGCGCGTCCCATCGCTGCGCTCTGTCCGGGCCGGCGTCGGTCGGGTGGCGGCCGCGAGCAGCAGCTCCGCCGGCCCACTTCCAACCGCTCGACCAGGGTGCCAACGAACCGCTTCAGCAATTCTCCGGCGGCGCGCCGGGCGAACCAAACAAATGACGGACATCGCGCGGCCGTCCAGAATCAATAGGCCCGTCTCCTGACCATGGCACTGGCGCTGATCGTCCGACCGGCGCCGCACAGGCCCACTCGCTCTGCCCTGAAGGCAGCCGTCCGTCCTGGCCGCCCGCGTCTCCGGCTCAGCCCGCCACCCGCTCTAACATGCAGCGAGCGGCCGGGAGGGCGACGCGTCGCTCCCAGCGGCGGGCGCGGGCCGGCCGGCACGCGCCCGCCGCTCTCCCCATACGCCGCGCTGCCCGGAGCCGACGCTGACGCCGGAATGTTCTTTTTTACACGAGTTACGTGCT